ATTATTATTATATTTTACAGTTTTATTTGTTGGGCCAAAGGGGCCGTAATTTATTATTGATTATTGCTTTATTACACTATACATATATTTACCAAATCTCTACTGAGTTACCATATTTGTTAGAGTTACCTGTGTCCCTAGATTTAAGCACACACCCACACATATACACACATACACACATCACCCCCATACTAGCACTCACGGGTTTTGCTCGGCGAACCTGTCCACTTCCTGTTGAGTGCTATACCTATATACACATTAACACAGTTCGGTCGGTGTGTGAGTGAAGCGCACGAAGTAATTAGGTAACCGGGCGCGCGTATTAATACTTTACGCTCCCGGTCCGCACATTTTTGGTGACCTCGACGTGATATATATTATATATTTTTATTGTTAGATTGCGTTTTATTGTATTCTTATCCTAATTAACTGCAGGATCAATTAAATTTCGCTATTCTTCATAGTGCTGGATTATTATATTATATCATTTTTATTTGTGTTTGCTGTATTCCATAACGATTAATCTTCGATTGCCAGGTATACTTCTTGAGTTTAAATCAATTTGATTATTGAGTGGTGACATCACTATCAAATGTTTTATTACTACCATTGTTATTATTATTATTTTATCATTTAGTTTACGACTTCACTGATATATTAAAATATTTTTTCTTCGCGGTTAAAACGCTGGTGTAATTTGCGTTTAATTTATAATATCATATTGATTGAGTTGGTATTTAGCTGGTGTATATTATTATTTTATCCGTAATCATGGTTCTCGAGGAGGGTGAACAGAAATGCCTCAGTGATTTGAGGAGGAAACGGGGGATCATAAAGGCAGAACCTTTGTCAACAAATTTAACCCAAAAGAGGATCCGGTTACTTTATTAGAATTTCGACAAGAAGAGCTACCGCAAATCAATCGCAAGTTTGACGAGATACAGTGCGGAATCGAGTTGATTGACCTAGATGGATCCGACGAAGCGGCAATCTAGAGAGAGGAATTTGAGAATGCATATTTCTCTATACGTTCGCAAATGCAGCAGATCATAAATGCAGATAAGAGTCAAAACACTTCAATGAACAACAACTCGACCAATGCGACAACTGTGCACTCGCATAAGGTGCATTTGCTCCCCATCTCACTACCAAGTTTTGATGGTAACATTCAGGAATGGGAATCATTTTTTGACTGCTTTAAGGCAATTATACAAATGTTTCGTACACTAACCTCGCTACGGATTGAGGTGGGAGTGGAACGTGGTGGTTACCGGATGAATTAGGACGATAGTAGGCAGTTGACAATATTAGATGTAGTTTATGTACTTAATTATATTATTAACATCTTAATGTAGTAATACATATTTGTGGACGGGGGGGAACCTTAATCTACGTACTTAAATAATAACAATTTATTATATATATTACAAGACATGAGTACATTACATGTCCGCGACGCGGTGGAGTTGACGACGTGGCTCAACTGGTGTGGGATAGCCTCCTGATCTAGGTTTTGGATGGTGTGGTGACACGTTGGTAAATTATGAAGGTACGGCCTGCACGTCGGCGAGTAGTATGGCACAAGGGTAAACGAGCGGCACAGCGCGCGGACAATACGCACGTTATACTTAAGCGTGTATGGCTTACACGTCGGCGACCAATACGGCACAACGGTAAACGAGCGGCACAGCGCGCGGACAATACGCACGTTATACTTAAGCGTGTATGGCTTACACGTCGGCGACCAATACGGCACAACGGTAAACGAGCGGCACAGCGCGCGGACAATACGCACGTTATACTTAAGCGTGTATGGCTTACACGTCGGCGACCAATACGGCACAACGGTAAACGAGCGGCACAGCGCGCGGACAATACGCACGTTATACTTAAGCGTGTATGGCTTACACGTCGGCGACCAATACGGCACAACGGTAAACGAGCGGCACAGCGCGCGGACAATACGCACGTTATACTTAAGCGTGTATGTACGATTACTTAACGAAAAACAAAACAACGAACACCGTTAACACACATGCTCGCGTATCAGTGATTGTGCTATGATAAAAGATTCCGAACGGCCGGGTGATACGCTGGTGACTGGTTGTCGTCGGGTGCAACGGTGGGCCACCGGCGGCGTGTCAGCCGGTGCAACGTGCGCTACCCGGCGTTATCGCATGTTGCGTGTGGCGGCAACACACGACGATGACAGTTATCCAGCAGCACAAAAGTTCTCCTACCTTAGGTCTACCCTGAGTGGACAAGCACTTGATGTTATTAAGGGAATACCGATAACTGAAAATAACTATGAAATGGCAGTCAAAAGGTTACAACAGCGTTATGACAACAAGAGCCTAGTAATACAGTCCCACATCCGTGCAATTTTAGACTGCAACAAAATAGAATCAACTTCAGGAGTGAATCTACAGGCTTTACATTCCAACGTCTCAGCACATGTAGCTGCACTTGAAGCATTGGGGCAACCTATTCAGCATTGGGATGCGTGGCTCGTGACTATTGTCCTGAGAAAATTAGATCAAAAAACGAGTCAAGATTGGCAGCTTCGGCGCACGAATACGAATCTGCCAAGGTATGCAGAATTAGAAAACTTCCTGTCCAACCGGTGTGTTGCCTTGGAAGGTTCCGAAATATTAGCTAAGGACTTCGATGCATATAAAAATAGCCAGTCATCAACTTCACCACAGTCGAAAAAGTCCTACCACCACAACAGCGCAAGAAAGGGTCTTTTTACGTCTACTGATAGACGAGTAAAGTGTGCATGTTGCTCTGGAGAGCACAAATTATATACATGCAATAGGTTCAAGGACCTACCCATAGGGGAACGTGTGACATTGGTAAGGGACTCAAGATTATGTTTTAATTGTTTATGTTCAAGCCATATGGCAAATGTGTGTTCGTCCACATTTAATTGCCGTATATGCAAACGTAGGCATAACACGTTATTGCATTTTGAGAAATCAACGGACCCAACGCAAAGGGTTGAGATTCAGGCACCACAGGTAGGTGCCAATAGCCAAAACGTTGGGTCGCAAGAACCAAACATTTCAGCAGCTGCTTCGTTATTAGCTGGATCGGAACAAGGGTATGTGTTTTTATCTACTGCGATCATATTAACTGTGGACAGGCTTGGGAAACAGAAACAATGCAGGGCAGTGTTGGATAGCGGATCCCAGGTCAATTTTATTTCTGGAAATTTAGCAAATAGATTGCAATTACGTTCCCAGAGGGCTGCATTACCGGTAAGCGGTATTGGGGAAAGTCGTGTCAAAGCGTTATCGTATGTAGAGGTTTCAATTCAGTCGAGACTGCGAGACTATAGAGCTAAACTAGTTTGCTACGTGCTCCCAACAATTGTCAGTAACCTACCATCGTGCCCGACCCCCGCACAAAGTTGGCAGATTCCAGACGATCTAGTACTCAAGCTAGCAGACCCATCCTTCAATAATCCTGGGGCCGTGGACCTTTTGATCGGCGGAGGAGTATTTTTTGACGTGACTTCGACATGCACAGAACGAATCCCACTTAATGTGAAAAATATATTTTTAAACGATAGTCAATTTGGATGGTTGGTTACGGGCGAGCTTGGAGCCGTGTGTTTAACAGGTATTCATTCAGTAGGGGAAACGCTTGAAGAAAATTGGAGAGTGTCAATCGGCAAGGAGGACTCAAACTTTGGACGGCTATCAAAGGCAAATGAACGCTCATTAGAAGAAGAGCAAACTATGGACCAGTTCAAACAAACAACCATTCGAGATGAGGACGGTCGATTTGTTGTTCAATTACCCAAAAAATCAACAGTAAATGAATTAGGAGCAACATTATCGATGGCAACTTCGCGTTTTCTTAGTGTAGAAAGAAGACTCCAACTAGATTAAGCATTAAGAGCAGAATACTTGAAGTTTATGAATGAGTACATAGCTTTGGGACATATGAAGGAAGTGGTCAATGAGAGCTCCGTACCAAAAACTACCTTTTACCTGCCACATCATGCAGTTATAAAGACGTCAAGTCTCACAACCAAAGTAAGGATAGTATTTGATGCATCTGCAAAGAGCTCCTCGGGTTTGTCGTTAAATAATGTGTTAAAATGTGGTCCTACCGTACAAGAGGATGTCTTCAAAATATTGGCTCGTTTTAGAAAGCACCAATATGTCTTAACAGCCGACGTCGAAAAGATGTTTCGACAAATACAGATTGCAAACGAAGACCGGGACCTGCAGCGAATCTTATGGCGACCAAGTCCAAATGAAGCATTACGAACATACCAGCTGACAACGGTGACATATGGAACAACGCCTGCCTCATTCCTAGCGACTCAGTGTTTGGTATCGCTTGGGGAAGAGAAAAAGCAGCAACAACCAGCAGCAGCAAATGCGATCCTGCGTGACTTTTACATGGACGATTTGATGACAGGGGCAGATAGCGAGGAAGAGTGCTACAAATTGCAGAGAGAAATTAATGATATTTTCAATTCAGCCAAGCTGCCGCTGAGAAAGTAGTGTTCAAACTCTCCAACTGTCTTAACCCAAATGGGAAAACGTGAAGGAGACCCACTTTTTACATTGGAGATTGGAGATAACGATACAGTCAAATCCCTAGGTCTGGAGTGGAAGCCATTTGCAGATCAGTTCCAGTTCACCCTAAATACTACAACAAGGAAGGATAAATTGACCAAGCGAATCGTATTATCAGATCTGAACAAGATATTTGACCCACTAGGTTTTCTATCGCCTGTGTTAATTAGAGGCAAGATATTCCTTCAGCAGATGTGGGCTGCAAACATGGATTGGGACAGAGAATTACAACCCGACATGCGAGACAAGTGGCTTAATTTTTATCACAATCTTAATGAACTGAAGACTTGTGCTATACCAAGAAAAGTAAAACCCAGTCCCACGCAACAAGTTGAGATCCATGGGTTTTGTGACGCATCAGAAGTCGCATATGGTGCCTGTATATACGTGCGGTCAATGGATAAAAATGGTGTATGGCATTCAAGACTTTTATGTGCCAAAACACGGGTAGCTCCACTAAGGGGGGCTACTATTCCTCGGTTAGAACTCAATGGGGCCCTGTTGCTAGCCGACTTGGCCCAAACGGTCGCTGAGTCTTGGGAGCTAGACGCTAAAGATTTTGAATGTAGGAAAAAAAGTCCCTGGAAAAAAAGATTCGGAAAAAAAGTCCCCGGTGAAAAAGTCCCCGGTAAAAAAGTCCCACGGAAAAAAAGTCCCACGGAAAAAAAGTCCCCAAATTAATATTTGATTTAAATTAAGTCTTTTATCGTATAGGTATTTATAATTTATATAGGTACATAGCCCATAGGTTACTTACATGTTACATATTTTGCTGAAGATAATTAACAAACAACTAAATTAAA